AGAAGCAAAGGGCAGTGGCCCGTTCATCTACTGAAGCAGAATATAGAGCACTTGCAAATGCAGCCTTCGAGATATCATAGCTTCTCTCATTATTTAAGGAACTCGGTTTGACTTTATCTGGACGCCCCAAGCTGCTCTATGATAATTTGGGTGCAACTTATCTCAGTTTTAATCCGGTCCAACACTCTCGAATGAAACACATTTAGATTGATCTTCATTCTGTCTGGGATATGGTTCAACGAAGGGTTCTAGATGTTCATCATGTTAACACTCAGGACCAGCTGGCTGATCTTCTCACAAAAGGCATCTCATGCAAAAGGACAGAAATTCTAAGGGACGAGATTGGCCTTGTCGATGGCAACTCCATCTTGCGGGGGCGTATAAAGGAAGCATCCTCCAATCAAGACTATCTCTCAAATCACGCAACAAAATGATTGATTCTTAGCCTTCACTCAAGAACATAACAGCCAATATTTTCCATGTTTATACTCTGTAATCAATTGCCTTAATTCTAGGACACTTATTTAGATTAGCTCTTGTCATCGTGTATTTATTCTCTCATATGAACTCTTGTAAAGTGTGTGTAATATCTTTCATATAGAGCAGTAATACAGAATTGAGAGAATCTTAAACTATTTTACAAAGGGAACGAAAGAGGATCATATTCACCATTCACAAAGGAAGTCTAACTATCAAAAAAGGGACAGGCCATGATGACGTGTTCCGTCTGTGACGGGCAAGAGCATGACAACAGATATCACCTAAAGGCCAATGCGCCAAACATTCTCATCTTTTATTCATTTTCAACCACACATTCTTTAATAAAATAATATTTTCCATCATATCAATAACTTTTCTTTCTTTTTTAACCACATATTCATCACATCATTAAAAAAAAAATGCATTCTCTCCTAAAAAATGTGCATCAAACAAAATAAATATAAATGTCTTCTCCATTTCTTCCTACCTTCTTGTCGTTACTTCTTCCATTTAGGAGTGGTTCAACACATCCCTGGAGCCGTTTGTTGTGAAAGAGAGCAGACCCGGACGTCTTGGAGGAAACTAACTCCGGACAAAGGATGTGTCGGATAGTCCACCCAACTGGATTGATTTTATGGCCCCTCTCCACAGCCTCCTTTCCACCGTACTCACATCATGACCACTCGGTCAATGAATAACATTCATAAGCCCAAATAGTTCAATTCTGTGACCAAACACGCACTCCCACCAACCATTGAACCTACTTGTGTGGGCAAGCAATTCGTGAACCTCACTGGAGACATGCTATGTCAGATGAGCTCACTGCTCTCATGCGTCATGGCACTTGGGATCTTATTTCCCCACCCAAAAATTGAATCCTATTGGATGCAAATGAGTATTCCGTGTGAAACGAAAATTGGATGGTTCAGTTGATCGTTTCAAAGCGAGGCTTGTCGCTAAAGGATTTAATCAACAAGAAGGGTTAGATTACAAAGAAACCTCCAGCACAATTGTAAAACCTGCAACCATTAGGACTGTCTTAACAGTAGCTGTCATGCAGGGGTGGTCATTAAGACAATTGGATGTTAACAACGCTTTTTGCATGGTCCCTTATTGAAACCGTTTATATGATACAACCCCTGGGATTCAAAGATATCACCAAGACGTATCATGTGTGCAGGTTACGAAAGGCTATATATGGCCTTAAAGAGGCCCCAAGAGCTTGGTATTCAGCACTTAAACTGGCAATTATGGAACTTTGTTTTCAAAATTCTAAAGCTGACTCATCTCTCTTTATCTATTCCTAGGATTCTGTTATATGCTATTTATTAGTATATGTCGATGATTTGGTTATTACTGGAAATAATTCTTGCTTTGTGTTTGAGATTGTTGCACAGCTTGGTAATCGGTTTTCCTTAAAGGACATGGGACAACTTCATTTTTTCTTGGGCATGGAGGTTATTTCTACAAAATCTGGATTTTTTTGTCTCAACACAAGTATATTCGAGACCTATTGTCCAAAACTAATATGACTGGTGCTAAAGATGTCTCCACCCCTTTGTCCACCACCACGTCACTCAAATTGGTAAGTGTCATTGGTGCTCTTCAATATCTGTCCCTGACCCGACTGGATATCTCATTCTCTATAAATAAACTTTCTCAGTTTATGTACAGGCCTACAATGACACACCGGACAGCTGCAAAGCGACTTCTTTGCTATTTAAAGCACACTATATTTTATGGACTTCACATCAGAAAAAACTCCAACCTTAAACTCCTTACATATTCGGATGCGGATTGGGCAGGCAACTATGATGATAGAGCCTCCACCTCTGCATACATTTCATTCCTTGGTGTCAATCCTATCTTTTAGAGTTCAAAGAAGCAAAGGGCAGTGGCCCGTTCATCCACTGAAGCAGAATATAGAACACTTGCAAATGCAGCCTTCGAGATATCATGGATTCTCTCATTATTTAAGGAACTCGGTCTGCCTTTATCTGGACGCCCCAAGCTGCTCTATGATAATTTGGGTGCAACTTATCTCAGTTTTAATCCGGTCCAACACTCTCGAATGAAACACATTCAGATTGATCTTCATTTTGTCTGGGATATGGTTCAACGTAGGGTTCTAGATGTTCATCATGTTAACACTCAGGACCAGCTGGCTGATCTTCTCACAAAAGGCATCTCATGCAAAAGGACAGAAATTCTAAGGGACGAGATTGACCTTGTCGATGGCAACTCCATCTTGCGGGGGCGTATAAAGGAAGCATCCTCCAATCAAGACTATCTCTCAAATCACGCAACAAAATGACTGATTCTTAGCCTTCACTCAAGAACATAACAGCCAATATTTTCCATGTTTATACTCTGTAATCAATTGCCTTAATTCTAGGACACTTACTTAGATTAGCTCTTGTCATCATGTATTTATTCTCTCATATGAACTCTTGTAAAGTGTGTGTAATATCTTTCATATAGAGCAGTAATACAGAATTGAGAGAATCTTAAACTGTTTTACAAAGGGAACGAAAGAGGATCATATTCACCATTCACAAAGGAAGTCTAACTATCAAAAAAGGGACAGGCCATGATGACGTGTTCCGCCTGTGACGGGCAAGAGCATGACAACAGATATCACTTAAAGGCCAATGCTCCAAACATTCTCATCTTCTATTCATTTTCAACCACACATTCTTTAATAAAATAATATTTTCCATCATATCAATAACTTTTCTTTCTTTTTTAACCACATATTCATCACATCATAAAAAAAAATGCATTCTCTCCTAAAAAATGTGCATCAAACAAAATAAATATAAATGTCTTCTCCATTTCTTCCTACCTTCTCGTCGTTACTTCTTCCATTTAGGAGTGGTTCAACACATCCCTGGAGCCGTTTGTTCTGAAAGAGAGCAGACCCGGACGTCTTGGAGGAAACTAACTCCGGACAGAGGATGTGTCGGACAGTCCACCCAACTGGATTGATTTTAGCATTCTGGTGAATTTTTTTGATGGTTTTTGGATGGTTGTTTTACATGGTGTATTGTTTGGCTGAATGTAATTAGTAGATGCTGAATTTTGGATGTCATAATGTTTGCTTCTCGTTGGACATTTGAAGTTTAATCATAACTTTTTGAATGGTACTTCATTAAAATTTAGTTTCACGTATCAATGTTGGATTGGAAGATCTTATTTTGGGGATTCAGATATGGTCCAATAATTATTTTATATACTTGTTCTTTAGAGGCTTTTATTCATGAGGGCACATAAAGCTTTGAAGAAGATTTTCATCCCATTTGGACCACCTTTTTATCTCATTAAAATAAAAACTATGACCGTTATCCATCATATCAACATTTAAATTCAAATTTTGTATTTCTTGTGTAGACCCCAATAACGACTACATTTTTCATTCTCTTTTACAATAAAGTGGTTCAAACAGGGCCCAGTAAGTTATAGTAATTGCTGAAAGAAAATTTTCAATCAGGTAATAAGCTTAGAAATCGATTGCTTATGCAGCTATGCTTGTGAAAATATAATGAAAAATTTTGAGAATATATTATACATTTATACTTCGCCTTGCAGAATCAGCAATTTATCAGTTGCAAAATTCAATAAACGGTCTCTCAGGGAAATGAACAATAATCGTTTTTAGAAGTTCAATGGCCAAAGTTTGACATCTATCAAAATATAATGAGTAATCCAAAATGTTTTTTAAAATTTAGTGAGCAATCGAAAATATTTTATGAAGTTCAGTAAGCATTTGTAGAAGTTTTCTTACATGGCAATTTGGTAACAACGTTTGGCGTCACATGTGAGTTCTGTCAGCCACGTCACAAATTCCATTAGATATTTGAAACGGATGCTATGTCAATGAGTAACGTCCAACATTTGAATAAATTTAGTGGTCTCAACATCTTAAATTTAAGTAATCAATCGAAAATATAGACAGAAGTTCAGTAATTATTGAAACAAAATTAGAATCATGCTACAAGTACATTAAGTTTCACATCAAGTTTTACATTGTTCCACGTGGCGCTATCACATTGGACAGTTTTTGAATTTAACACACTTTCCCTCCAAACCGTTTTTGAATATACACACAATGTCAAATTTCGTGTAAAGCAAAGAATGTACAAATAGCATTATTCACAAAATTAACTAGTCAAATTGTCCCTTCACCTTACCATTAGGCTTTGTTTGAGCCTCATTTTCCACAAATCTTTTTTTTAAAACTTATTTTTAATCACACATTCTTTCATAAAATAAACTTATTTTCAATCGTACATTCTTCTGTAAAATTTTCTTCCATATAATAATTTTACGCTTACTAGAAAAAAGGTACTATTTTCAAATACATTTCTCCCAAAAATAAAATAAAATAAATATTGCTCAAACAAGTTTTAATTAGTTATAGCATTGCCGTGGTTCATTTCCCCTCCAGACTCTACCCCGTCTCCCATTTTCTTTGATCGACTGTTAAATTCCCCATTCAAAACGTAGATAGAGAAACAGAGATGTCGAAGACTCTGGTGCAGCCGATTGGGCAGAAAAGATTGACAAACGTGGCAGTTGTTCGCCTCAAGAAACACGGAATCCGCTTCGAAATTGCTTGCTACAAGAATAAAGTCCTCTCGTGGCGGTCCGGCGTGTATGTTTTTTATGTTCTGATGATGATTCGCATATACTACGTCTTGAGCTCTGTATTTGAGTTATATTTGTGTAAATTTGACCTTAACCTATGGAAATTTGGAAAACCAGGTCTAATTTTGAATTAAGTTTACTCTAACTATAATTTTAGCGTCACTGACATGCTTTATGTTATTATTAGTGCAAGTTCTGTGTTTGAATTAGTCCCGAATTTTGACGTTAATAGTTGGATATTGGGGAAGACCCAGTACTAGTTATGAGTTAAGTTTGCTCTAATTTTAATTGAAGTGTCTGATTAACATCTGTAGATTACGAAATAATTATAATTATCGCCATGCTCTAATTTCTATAATAATTGTAGATTATGAAATCGTTTTTTTTTTTTTTTTTT